CAGGAGACTCTCTTGAGCCCAGGAGTTGGAGGTTGCTGTGAGCTGTGATGCCACAGCACTCTACCCAGGGAGACAGCTTGAGGCTCTGTCTCAAAAAAAATAAATAAATAAAAGAAAACCTTAAGTGTGTGTAACTGATTAGAAACAAACAGATCAGAATCTTTAAACCTCACCTATATTTCTGCAAAAACAAGCCTAGACTAAAAAACCTCTTCAGGGCGGAGCCTGTGGCTCAAAGGAGTAGGGCGCCAGGCCCATATGCCGAAGGTGGCAGGTTCAAATCCAGCCCTGGCCAAAAAAAATAAAAATAAAAATAAAAAACCTCTTCACCTTCAGGCTCCAAACCTGCATCAACACAAACCAGGCTTTCTTTTTTTTCTTTTTTTTTAAGGGATGGGGTTTCACTATGTTGTCTAGGCTGGCCTTGAACTCATGGGCTCCAATGATCCTCCCATTCAGCCTCTGGAGTGGCTGAGACTACAGGTGTGCACCCCCAAGCCCAGCTCACATGCTTTAAAAAATATAAAGCACTGAAGGAAGGCATCCTCTTCAGTACTCCTTTCCATGTGCACATTTTGAATATCTTGTCTAAATTCTGATTTGAGCAAACCATCAGGAAAAAGTACTAGTTTTTTAGAAATGATAATGGTTATGTCTAAGAATGAAAAACATCAGGGAGACTGGCAGCAGTGGTTCATGCCTAAAATCCTAGCACTCTGGGAAGCTGAGGCAGGTGAATTGCTTGAGCTCAGAAATTCAAGACCAGCCTTAGCGAGAATGAGACCCCATCTCTAAAAAAATAGCCAGGCGTTGTGGTGGGTGCCTGTAGTCCCAGCTACTCAAGAGGCTGAGGCAAGAGGATCGCTTAAGCCCAAGAACATGAGGTTGCCATCAGCTATGATGCCACAGCACTTAGGGTGGCAAAGTGAGACTCTGTCTCAAAAAAAAGAAAAGAAAAACATCAGGGAGCTTGGTAACCTCCCACCTAATGGGTATAATGTCAGAGTACATGGAACATCTCCTGGGTGAAGGACTCAACTACATCTCAGACACTACCTAACAAATGTAAACAATGTAACCCAATTGGAAGTACCCTGATATTAATCCAAATTTTTTCTTTTTTTTTTTTTTTTGAGACAGAGTCTCACTATGTCACCCTCAGTGGAGTGACGTGGCGTCACAGCTCACAGCAATCTCAAACACCTGGGCTTAAGCGATTCTCTTGCCTCAGCCTCCCAAGAAGCTGGGACTACAGGCGCCTGCCACAACACCTAGCTATTTTTTTGTTGTAGTTGTCATTGTTGTTTGGCAGGCACTCACCAGCGCCAGTGTATGTGGCTGGCGCCCTAGCCGCTGAGCTACAGGAGCCACGC